CCCTTCTCTTATGTGTTTTGTGTGACAAGAAGTATAAAATTGTCCATCGGTACATCAGTAGAGAAAGAGAAAGAGAGAACTCTTTTTTTATGAGAAAAGCAAGATGGACGGAACCAAATTAAAATGAGAATGGGGATTTTCTTATATGAGGGGGAATCCGTTAACTTAATATCTGAAAGTTATCAAGTGATAATATCCTTTCTGCACAGCCTTTTCTCCTTCCAAAAAAGTTTTATCTTGACTAAGGATTGCTTCAATCAACCTGTCCATATCTTTCTAGAAGCTATGCTTTTTGCAGATCATGCATGCTGACAACACTAATCGTCACCTCTACCAATGTCTACCTTATGCATCAAATGCAATTCCCTATACTTTTCATCCCTGCCGCTCCTCCATTTAGACTTATTTTAAATGATTGTTTCTATTATATTTCTGCTCTTTACTTGTACAATTCTTACTTGTAAAAGAAGTGCTCCCAGTTACCATCTCTACTGCCCATTTGACAATGTAAGCGACTTTACAATCAAGTTGATTCAAGACTTTATATGACAATATTATGAAATGACTTTTAACTAATGACAACTGGATTTTATTTTTTTTTAGTTTAATTAATATTAATAACTTTTTCCTTTTCTTGGAGAGTCGGCAAAGCCCTTAGCAACTATGCGACCCAATTATTCCATTTGCTAAGTTACCCTCTCTTATAATGAACCAACCCAAGTTTCAACATCAAGATCAAAGGAGTTGCATTGAGCTCTTGATAGAATCAATCTTGGTTGGATAATCTCTTCGAACAAAAATAAGACCTATGTTATTGGTTAAGGTGCAAGGATCTGGGCTATCTACCTTATTATTGGAGGATAAGATCTACACTCCCCTCCGTCCATTGGGTGTTGGAACTCTTCTGGACACCGGATGCACCTTGTCAAATATGGTGCATGTCCCAACTAACCGTTGCCCGCTTCTCACTATACCTTGGGCCCATTATGTGTGTTGCTAGTAGGGGATGCGCCCATTGGAACCTCCATCCATTGGGTGTTGGAACTCTTCTGGACACCGGATGCACCTTGTCACACGATGCACCTTGTCAAATATGGTGCATGTCCCAACTAACCGTTGCCCGCTTCTCACTATACCTTGGGCCCATTATGTGTGTTGCTAGTAGGGGATGCGCCCATTGGAATTTTTTATAGATCCGTGTTATCGATGTGACAGAATCATGAGATGGCTTTTAACTACCCGAAAATGGAACTTATTTTGTTTTAGATTGAAATTAACAATTTTTTCCTCGCCTTCGGAAGTCAGCAAAGTCCTTATTTAGCCTTGATGTGATCCAAATATCCTGTTTAGGGTTCACCTTGTTTTGGAGAAGTGGTAACATTTTTCAAGAAAGATTTCTCACTTACATTATTTGCAATTCAACTTTGAATTCACTATATGGCCCTGGATTGCCTATCATAAGTCTTTGCTTGCTGAATCTCTTTAAATACATATAGGTTATCAGGTTTAAGTACTGTAGTTGAGGGGTGAAACTTGAATGATAAATTAGTAAATGCAGTGAAATAACTGTACCAAAGTAGGACGGAATTTACCATTTCATTTTTAGTTTAGTTTCGTTTTGTTTTTTCCCCCTCTTGGGATAACCACTGGTTGATGATAGTCAAGAGATAAACTATATGACACTCTTACACTGCATTATCATGCTGTTTAGATTTGAGTTTAGACTCGTTTCAGAATAATGCTCATTTTCATTTGATTCTTTACTTTTCCTAGAGCAGTCCTTTAACTTCAGCTGTAGCTGCCAAATTTACAGCTAAGTACAAACTAGAACCTGAATTTCCAATTTGACTATGTTGGTATATCTACATTCTACACATTCCATGTGCATCATGATATTTGTGCTCCAGTGTATGGGTGTGGTCAATGCCTGTTTGTATTTTAGTGTATTAAATTATTGACGTGTCAGTATTTTGTTTGCTTGGAGTTTCTTGTTGACACCAAAAAATTTAAATGTAAATGCCGTGCTAGCTCAGTTGCGGTCGTTTGTATCCATGTGGTGTTCTGCATTGCCACTGCATGATGCAAAGATAGCAAGTCGCATGATTTGATGTTAAAAATAAAATCATCAGATCGGATCAATTAGGCATCAAGAATTCGTCCTGGGTTTGAAGTACTAGAGGGTAAAATGCATAGGGATAATCTTGAAACTTTATCCTTTCATATCAACCATTATACATTGATTAATGACTTCTGGAAAGCAAAGAATTGATTCGCAACACTTTTCCAGGCTGCAGTTTACTTCAACAAAATACAATGCTTTTGTTTTGAAGAGCAGCGACTTCTTCCTGGAGAGCAGATTGACATGCCTGTAAGTGGTGGTGTTTCAATTTCGAGGACAGATGGTGTTGCTCATTGATTTTTGTTACATGATTATACTTTTTAATCTGCAGGTCTTCTTTTATATAGACCCCGAGTTTGATAAAGATCCAAGAATGGACGGTATCAACAACTTGATTCTGTCTTATACATTTTTCAAGGTTTCTGAAGAAAACTAACGCTGCTTATGCTGAGTTTGATAAAGATCCAAGAATGGACGGTATCAACAACTTGATTCTGTCTTATACATTTTTCAAGGTTTCTGAAGAAAACTAACGCTGCTTATGCTGAGTTTGATAAAGATCCAAGAATGGACGATATCAACAACTTGATTCTGTTACATTTTTCAAGGTTTATGAAGAAAACTAACGCTGCTTATGCTGAGTTTGATAAAGATCCAAGAATGGACGATATCAACAACTTGATTCTGTTACATTTTTCAAGGTTTATGAAGAAAACTAACGCTGCTTATGCTGTCACAAAATATTTTCAGTGCGAAATTAGAGTTTCTTCTGGACATCTAAGGATATACATTCTTTGAGTTTAGTAAGAGGGGGGAATTTGAAGACTGTAAGAAGATGTTATGTGCTGTACTATATAATTAATGCTCCAAATTCAATAGATTTCCAGTAGCAAAAGGGTTGCTGAGTCTGTGTTTAACTGATGCCAAGTGATTTGAGTAAAAGCTGATGAACTGAGAGTAATTATTGTTTCTTTTCCCTTTGTCTATTCAGACTGGTATGAGTAACTCTATTCTTAATGTCTCGTGTGCAAGGATTAGGGGGTAGCAATGGGCCGGTCCGTAAAAGCTCGACTCGTGGGCTTCCTGGCCTCCTATCCACTTCCACACGCTGGCCCGTTGGCTCATCCATAGGGAATGGGGCTGACCTGAGCCTCAATTTCGACCATCTAAGTCTCAACTGCAAAGTGTTTAGACGTAAAAACAATTTAGATTTGAAAGCGTTATAGCTTTGACATGATTAGTTTTTATTATTACATCAGCATTCTCACATTTTTTTAATAAACACTTTTTCCCTTTTAAAGATCACTTATTTCAAGTTAATAATAAATATAATATAACCCTTGACTAGTTTATAACTTTGCCAAGAAGTTAGGTTAGGTCATTGCCAAAATGTAATGATTGAACCAAAATTTTAGCTTATTTTACCACTATTTTTCACATACCATTAGTCCTTTAAAAGCCTTAAAATTTGTTATTAAGATTACAAAAAGACTATCTGTTATTCACAATTTATTATTTTTTAAGGATTAATTAATCTCGTTGATTAGAAAGTCTTGAATGTACTAGCTCGAGGTATCATTAACTAAAGGTAGTAATCTTGATCAATTTCTAGTAAACAAAGGCGACAAATATTTGGCATCTTTTATTAAGTCGACATGGCTGAAAAAATAATTAAAGGCTTATTTATTCGGATCGTGACATGACAAGAGACGCAAATGAATCACAACAATGGATCTAATGTATTGTTCACTAACTTGAAACAGAAGCATTTGATGTTTTCAGAAGTAGGTTACTACTCGAATCGTGACCTAACTACTATATTAATAACCATATCATTTGACAAGAAGCCAAGAACTGCCAGAAATGAAAGATTACCTTCCAATTTCTTATTAACATAACAGACTTAACAAGAAATTTTTGATTATATGTCAGTTTAGTGCCAAAATCATCATTAAATCTCTGATGGATAGTGACAGAATGTCAAAAAAAGAAAAATGATGTAATTTCGCCTACCCACTCCACACTATTCAATCAAAGTGGGTTTATGATTATCTGCTTTTGTTATACCTGTTTTCTTTTTTTTCTTTCTTTTTTTTTTTTCCATAAAGTTTTTGTTTGCTTGAAAGCTTGTCAATTTTTTTATTTTTTTTAGCCATTCATTTAATTGAACCACAACTTCTATCTATTTTTTTTACCTCACAAATTAAGGGGATTCGCCATCTTTAATTAACTTTTAACAATATCAAACTTATTGTAAATTTTAAAGCGTGTTTGAAGAGAAGACCTAATATGATTTGACACAACTAAAGAAGTAAAATATGCATATGAAATTATCATGCAACGGTTAGGTCACAACTCACCTTTAAAATCGACTTGTAAGGGATGAATCGTATCTAAAGTGCTTATAACTTTCACGAACAATGTAGGATATAAATAAATTGACACTAAAGCAATGTAGGATAAAATTCAACAGGCATTACAGAACCAATCTTCTATTGGAATAGGGTGCCTACTCTAATTCTAATTGTAACAATCACTTTGAGTAGAACTTACTTTAAAACTGACTTGTAAAGGAGGGTGTCCAAAATGCTTATAAATCCATAATGAAGACGTTTCACAAATAATATGGAATATAACTAGATTGTTTTATTGGTGTCTTGTCTTGCCAAATCCAATCGTGCTTAACATTCCAAACGTACATGCCGTTAAAATTTCACACTTCTCCATTTTATGTATATACGTAGTTGAAAGTATTATCATGTTTGGTTAAGCTTAAATGTACTTATAGCAACCATGCTCATAAGCATGTTTTGACTGAATTGATAGAAGTATAATACAAGTAGGCCTACTTGTACCATATATAGAACAATAAGTCTACAATGGAAGGAAGAAGGTAATAATAGCGGTAAACTCTACGTACATTAAAATATGGTCAAAACAAGTTAGACAAATTATCTTATCTTTTTCTGAAAGTAGACTCTGGTCCATGTACACCTATACAATTTTGGTAGAGTTAACTGTCAAATTTTGTCTAGTATATATTTTCTTTAATTTTTACAGTGTCCACTTTACTAAACAACTTCAAATTAGAACTTGGACGGACCTCGGCCACTATTGGTGGTTCTTCAGTCAAGAAAATGATACAAATTACACACACTACATAAAGCAATTGACTAAGTTTTCACCCAATGCACAAAAATAAAATAAAATATAATGCATTGATGGCATGTTTAATTAATCTTGACTTAAAAAACAAGATTCCACTCAAAGCTCCCATTTTATTGTTTCTTTTTTCCATTTTTAATCCAAGCAAAGTGAACAGTTGAACAAATGATCTGAATTGTGTATATGAGAGGGAGATTTAATCAGAAAGTTTGGTGAAGAAGAGCATGCAAGTTCCTGAAGATGCTGGTGATGGAGCAACAGCAAGTGATTCCTCACAAATCTCCAAACCCCATAATATAAATATATCTTCATCTATACTTCAGCTTCATCGGTAATTACACTAAGTAAGCCATAATTAATTAAGGAGTGATGATGGAGAGCCCAAACAGGAAATCTTCTCAAAAGGTGAGTATTACTAATATGACCCATTGTTCTTGATTGTATGTTCTTTTAACTTTAAAGATTTAATCATCAAACACTTCACAATATTATTTGCTTGCTTTTAAGTTTGTGAAGAGTACTAGTTCACAGCCTGCAGCTCCATTAAGTACCAGAGGAGCAAAGAACAGCCCGCCTCGACGACCATTCAGCAGCCATTCTGGGGTAGGTTTTATGATTTTATGCGTAGTTAATTGAGCTATGATGGCACATTTGGTAGTCAGAAATAGCATTGGACAACATTACGAAAGAAAAACTTCGTTATAATGTCAAGTCTTGTTTACTCCAGCATAACAAACTGACATGAAAAAAATCTATGTATGTAATAAATAAGTGGGACTACTCATCAGGCTGAGGATTTTAGCAAAAGTTCTATGTTCTTTCTTAATAATCAAGACTCATCACAATAATGGAACACTTGACGTGATTTATTTGACAGAAATAAAGAATAAGAAAAGTTAAAATTTCGTCCATTAGGATCAGGTCATGTTGATTCTGCGCACCAAACTCATCCAAGTAGTTTAAAACTCACTATGAGCAGTTCCTTTCTTTCACACATCATCAGACTTTTACTCACAAGGAACCAGTTAAAATCGTCTGATTTATTACAAGATTCTTCAAATTTGTCAAGAATTCAAGAAGAATCAGTTGAGACAATAAATCATGGATGATCAAGAATAAGAGATAGTTAAGCAGTATCTCCTACACATCGCATAAAGAAAATTTTAACATTTGCCTGTAGGTTCTTCAAAAGCCTCTGATAAAAGAAAATACCAAGCCATTGGAAATCAAGCTCCGCACTCAGGAAAGAGCAACCAGGCGTGCACTGTTCAACTATACGGTACATATTCCACTAATCTACCACCTTTATAGCAAATAAGCATTAGATCGAGTGCATTGAGCATAAGCGAGGGACCTGTACTAGCTTATGTTAAAGGGATAAAATCATACATCGAATAAATATGAAAATATCGACCAACTTATAAGGGTTTGGGGTACTCCACTTAATTTTAAAATGGAACTTCAAGCCTTAATATGGTATGAGAGCTCATTAAGCTAAAACGAGAAATTTGATCTAATTAAGAAAAAAACAAATGAGCACGTGGAATTCAAGATTTATTTGATCAAATGAGTGACTTTTTAAGATGGAATTTTAAATCTTAATAGTGTGTGCAATGCTAGGGGAAAATATTGATGAGTATGTATATTTTTGTACTTCGGAACTAATACAGGTTGAAATCAAGCTGAGTATCATAGAGCAACAGAAGAGGCAAGTTGAGAAGCTGCTAAAGGTTTGTTACAAACTCATACTTGAAGGTCTTAAAAATCATATTTTTAAGTCAATTTAATGTAACAAAATGTTGATTTGAAGCAGACAATAGAGGAGGAAGAGGTTAGAATGCTAAGAAAGGAAATGATTCCAAGAGCTCAATTGATGCCGTTTTTTGATAGACCCTTCTGTCCACAAAGGTATCATATTTGTATTAACGAGCTAGGTGAACATGTAACTCACGGCTACATCTATTGTAAGATTAAAAATGATCTTATCTTCGACAACGACAATGGGCTTCCTTAGTGTATCCTTCCCACATCTAACTTTTTGCACGACACTCTTATGGACAAAAGTACAAAAACGAAGAGCAAGATTACAATGTGGAAAGGTGCACAAGTAAATTTTATCTTGTTAACATGCTAAAACAGTTTCTGTCATTTATTTTTCAGATCAACAAGGCCTTTGACAATTCCACGAGAGCCGAGTTGTTACCGCAAGAACTCCAGCTTCATCTCCTGCAGATAAACACATATTACAGTGTTTTAATACATTGAAGGCATGGATACAACTGATTAGCTCGTGTTTAATATAAAGAAGAAATGCTTCGGCATTTTAGATATGTTCCGAGTATTCATTTCTCTTTTTGGATCTATGAATTTTGTACTTTCATTAGCCCCACACACACACACACACATTAATTCAAAGAAAAATATTAACTACCAACGGTTATGTGTTTGTTTTTATTCCATCCTAAATTCAAAGGTTCAATATGTACAATTACAAGAATTTCCTCAACCATAAATAAGAATATCTAGTCTACCCTTTTACATTAGAAATGAAGTTTGCTTCCATTTTTAAGCTAAGCTGCGGTAGTATTCTCCACGCCCCCTCTCAAAAGAGAGAGTGATGAGTTTCTCTGCATCAAATCGAGTTTGTCTCCAACAAATGTTAAGTAGTCAACCATTTGACTGTGTGAAGGAATTGTAAACAATATAAACTAATTTGATTAATCAACCGAAGGAAGAGCAGAAGAAGAAGAACTAATTCTTGAGCCGTGTTCGGTAAAATTATATACCGCAAGTGCACAGGTACTTTCAAGTAATAAATTGGACTTATGAGTCCGAGTATTGATCCCTCGAAGAGTTTTTTTTTTTTTTTTTTTAAATTATACAATTTTTGACTCAATTTTAACAATTGAAACACACAATTAGATTTTATATGTGAAAAGGAAAGGAAAATGAATTTGAAAATCAGTTGAAATAACAATTATGAAAGAGAAGGAAATTTGACTTATAAATGAGTTGGGATTTACAATGTCACTTAACCGACGTTTCTTTAATATCGCAACAAATCGAAAATGCAAATTACCTCATTACATTGTTAGACCCGATTTTCCAAATTTAGTTAATTACCTCTCTCTAGTGAAATTGACTCTAATCGATTGATTTTACCTACTATATCTCTATATTGATAAAAACCCAACCGAACACATTAAATTGTGATGAAAATAACTCAATGGGTCACCTAGGGTTTGGAGTATATCTCTAACTCCTAAAATAACCTAAGGCATTAATTATTTGGTCAAGAATGCACAACAATCTCTCAATAGTTGCACAAACCACTCAATTCATTCATGTATTGGCCACATACATGAAGAAAATTTAAGCACAATAACATAGTAATTAAAATATTAAATGATGTATATTGGCATTAAAGAAACTTAGGTCAAGCTATATCATAAATCCCAACATTAAACATTTAGCCCATTGCAAAATAGAAGCACAAAAATGAAATAAAGAGAGAACTCATTACAAAATGAAGGTGATAATAGAAAAATACAAGATGGTAGAAGAAAATCGTCCCTTGAATATATTCTTGAAGAAATGAGGGATTGAAATCTTTAATAATCCTTGTAAACTCCCAAATTTTGCTAGAAATTCTCCCTTCTTCTTGCCTCTTCTCTCCTTGAAGGATTTTCTAAGTGTTCTCCTATAAGTCTTGCCCTAGAAGTGACCAACAAATGGGTATTTAAATGGCCCAAAATCGTCTTAAGTGAAATTGTGAAAGTGGTCCCGAATTTTAAGCAAAATAGGCAAAATTTGCCCAGCCGAAAAGCAGCACGTGAGTACGGGAATTTGTGGCGCGCGCGCACTGTTAGATGCTTTTGGCCTCGGGATATCATAAAGAGCATCCCGCGCGAGCACCATAGTGAGCCTGCGTACGAGCACGGGCTTTCTTCATTTCTTTTTTTCCAACTTAGTCCTCCATTCAATTGCACACAAGGTCCTCAAATTTGATCATGAACAACTTGGTCCTCAAAATTTGATTTTCATATCACATTGGCCCTCCAAAATTGCAACAATAGGTTTAAACTTTCAGCACTCGTACACTTTGGTCACCAAGTCATGTTTTGTACACTTTTGGTCCTTTCTTCCTTGATTTAGCTCTTTTCCCATCCAATTGGACTTTTGGCCTACAAAAACAATAATTACACAATTATAAAAATGAATCCACTCAATTTCATCAATAATTAGCTCGTTAAAGTGCCTAATAAATATGTAAAAACACACTTATCAAACACTCCCAAACTGAAGCTGCGTCTCGAGCAAGATTAACTCCTAATACAATCATGCAATACATACAAAGAACCAACAATATTGTATATCCCATCAATATAAACAAGAGTGTAAAATTGTGTAATCAATTCACATCGATGCTTCTGAATCCTGCTACCAAAAACAATGTAAACTTGTCCAATGCTTGATCGGTGTATGTGTGTGTATAGTCACTTTTAATCATCATCTAAATTATAAAACAATTATGAAGATGGAAAAATCTTCAAATTGGCCACAGCCCGACCCTTTGTGGTCAAATATATTCTTTCCTGCTCTTGAGATTCACATACTGAAATAGATATTTTTGTTCTCTCCCTAGGTCAACATCAAAGGGTTGCTATTCAATTACTCATTTCTTTTCCCGTTCTAGTTTGGTTGGGTCTAACCGGCAATCTCAACATGTAGTCATGTGATGATTCTCTACTAACGAGTGCTTTCGCATTCAAGCTTATACTAAGTAATTCAAACTCACTAGTTATCTAAGCCCAAATATCAAATACAATTGCACAATAATTTTTTTTTTAATTTAGCCAAATCTCATGTTTTACCTCACTTTCTTCTTGACCCTTGTAGTGAGCTTTAGGTCGATAACTCCTCGGTTGTTTAGGCCAAAGGGTACTGAGTTTTGAAATACCCTTACGGACTTAATAACTCGAGTAAAAAAGGCTACGAATGAGGCCCAAGATTCAACAAGTGCAATAACATTCTTTTTAAGCACAAACCAACACATAGGGCTTAGATCCCTAGCATATGGTCATTACCTAGCTTATACTTGGCAAAAGATACTCCACACAAATATTTTCAACATGTATGAAATCAACACACTTTTAGATAATATCTTTCACCGGTTCGACCACCCCCAAACTTAATTCATAAAATGGTGGAGTGATTGAGAGTATGATAGAAGTTTATGTGTAACTCACAACCTAGTTCTTCCAATTCAAAAATTTTCCATCAACCATTTCCACATCTAGACAATAACCAGTTGTGACTATTGTGCTCAAAGTGGTATAAAATCTCACATAGACAAGCAAATTTTCAAGATCGAAACAAATAGCATGATTGGACATAACTTATGAATTAATAACAATTTTAAACATCACATCAAATCATCAAAAGCCGACAAGGCTATCCAACACGCCAGTATCAACACCAATATAAGCACGATAAATATGCACAATATCCAATCAACATTTAACATCCCCAAACTTAACTTACACATCGTTCTCAATGTGTGCATAAATACAAAATAAGGAGAGAGGGTTGACGAAACTTCCCTAATTAGGTGTTTGTTGAAGGATGTTGTAGATGGAATTTTGGTTTATGACTTAGTGGACGGTGCACCCCCAAACTTGTTGAGATCTATGGGTGGCTAGGACTTCAAAAATTTTGACCTACAAAAGAATTTTATTAATTCAAAATATAATAACAAAAGTATTAAACACAAGTAACATAAACAAAAGTGTAAGGATAAGAAAGTTGGATTGCCTCCCAACAAGTGCATGGTTATAGTCCCTAGCTCGACTATAGGCCTTGTTCACTCCAAATTAGCAAGAGGAATGGAGGACTTCTCCTTAGAAAAATCACCTCCAAAGTAGGGTTTCAACCGTTGCCCGTTAACCTTAAACTTTCCCTTTTCTTCATGATGATGTTCAACTGCTCCATGTGGAAAAATTTTAGCATTGGTGAAAGGACACGACCATCTCGAGCGGAGCTTTCCAGGAAACAATCGGAGTCGAGAATTTTAGAAAAGAACTTGTTGCCCAACAAAGAAGTCGCATTTCATAATGTGTTTGTCATGCCATTTCTTTGTCTTTTCTTTGTAAATTTGAGCATTCTCGTAAGAGTCAAGGCGGGCTTCATCAATTTCATTCAATTGGAGCAATCTTTTCTCACTGGCCAATTTCACATCAAAATTCAAAGCTTTTATTGCCTAATAAAATCGATGCTCAAGTTCTACTGGGCGGTAACAAGCTTTCCCAAACAAAAGACAATAGGGAGCCATACCAATGGGCGTTTTGAACGCGGTATGATAAGCCCATAATGTATCATCCAATTTTTTGGACCAATCTTTTCTAGAAGCACTCACCGTCAATTCAAGAATCCTCTTCAACACCCGATTCGAAATTTCAACTTGACCACTAGTTTGGGGATGATAGGGAGTGGCCGCACGATGCTTTACTCCATATTTGGTCAATACTAAGTCGAAGAGGTGATTGCAAAAATGTTTACCTCCATCACTAATGATAGCTCGGGGGTGCCATAGCGAGAGAAAAGATTTTTCTTTAAAATGTTTACTACCACCCGAGCATCATTAGTGGGCAAAGCCACCGCTTCTACTCACTTTGACACATAATCAACCGCCACCAATATGTATTGATTTGAGAATGAAGGAGGAAAAGGTCCCATGAAATCAATACCCCATACATAAAAAAATTCACCTCTACTATAGAATTCAAAGACATTTCATTTCGGTTGGAAATATTACTACTGCGTTGGCATTTGTCGCACTTCGAGACAAGAGTGTGAGCATCTTTGAATAATGTCGGCCAATAAAAATCGGACTGAAGTACATTTGATGCGGTTTTCACGGCCTCAAAGTGACCACCATAGGGTGGGGAATGACATTGTTCAAGGATTTGCTCCATTTCATCTTCTGGCACACATCTCCGAATAATTTGATCCGGGCCCTATTTGAAAAATAAAGGATTGTCCCAAAAATAATGCTTGATATCGGCAAAGAACTTCTTCCTTTATTGGCAAGAGAGATCCGGGAGAGTGATGCCTCCAACAAGAAAGTTCACATGGTCCGCATACCATGGTATATAGGTGGCTTGTAGAAGATGCATAATTTGCAAGAGTTGTTCATCGGGAAATACCTCATTTATCTCCCCATCCACCACCTCTTTGGTTTGCTCAAGTCGAGATAGATGATCGGCAACAACTTTTTCGATCCCTTTTTTATCGTGAATTTCCAAGTCAAACTCTTGTAGAAGAAGGACCCATCTAATTAACCAAGGCTTGACATCTTTCTTTGCTAGCAAATA